CTGAGAAGAGGGCACCCAGTTCACCCTCTTGTCAAGCCAGGAGGTACTGCCGGAGTCCCTGAGTGGTTTGGGTTACTTCACCCACTGCCCAGCCCTTGCCCCCACCGGGTCCCACGCTGCTCTGACCGGCTTTCCCTGCAGTCCTGCTGCAAGGCCTACGAGTACATGGGCTTCATCATGGAGAGGGAGCAGTCATACAAGGACGCGGCCACCAACTACGAGCTGGCCTGGAAGTACAGCCATTACGCCAACCCTGCCATCGGTACAGCAGCCGGGCCGGCATGCATGCATGCAGGAGGGACCAGGGCCGGGGGGACCACCCTCCCGACCCCACAGCACAGGGCCTGTGATCTGTTTGCGGTGGGGAACCAGAGGGGTTCTCGGGTCATCAGAGTGCCACCCATTGTCTAAATCCTCCGTACACCTGGACAGGCTTCAGGCTGGCTTTCAACTACTTGAAAGACAAGAGATTCGTGGAGGCCATTGAAATCTGCCATGATGTAAGCCCCTGACGGTGGTGGGACAGGGGTGGTGTGGGGCTTGGTGCAGTGGCAGGGAGCCCTATCTGGTGTTTCATACCCTTTCTTTCTCTGTCCCAGGTCCTCAGGGAGCACCCCAACTACCCTAAAATCAGAGAAGAAATTTTGGAAAAGGCCCAAGGGTCTCTGAGGCCCTAGCTGTGGTCAGTGGGAACCAGGGAGGGTGGAAACTATCAACCTACAGAAGTTTCATGGAGGGGGTAGGAAGTGGGTCAATGGAGAAGAGAGTCAGAAAATAACATATTCTTCCCCATTTCTGTGTGTGTGTGGTTTATTTGAATCAAGCCTAATCTAGTCTAAAGGACATCCCAAAGCTTTAGGTTTTTAAGGCAGAAGGAGCAATTTGACTCTGAGGAGGAAAGATGTCAACCAGCTTAGCTTCCCCTGGGTTCACTGGGCAACTTCTCATGGACCCCACTTTTATCTTAGACTCTCAGGGGCCAAAAGGGAACAAACAGGTGGTTCAAAAAATACCCTACAGCTACTTTAATATTTTTCTGTAAGCCCATACCAGCCTCCCGTCTCCTCTGTGGTCCCCAGAATCCTGAATTACAGAAGCAACTGCTCCTCCCTGCCAAGCTGCCCACTGGCTGGGGGCCCAGACAGGCTCCCTCTGTCCATACATTCTGCCGCCTCCTCCTCAAGGCTTCAGCAGACCTCTGCTGGTCCTTACCAGTTTGGGAGTTTGGGACAGACCTGATCACTCTTGCTTCGAGCAGGAAAAAAATACATCCCAAGAAAAACTAACTCTGTGCTTCAGCTTCAGTGAAAGACAGTGGCCAACTAATTCATCTTCCCGGAACCTTTTAACACCTAAGGGGACAAAAGCAGGGGTCTCTTTGTAGATGAATAATGTTAACTGTGACTGGCAAGAGGATGACAGAGGTCACCTTTGCTGTGCCCCCAGTACCTCTCTTCCTGTTCTTCAGGATGGCAGTAATGGGCCAGGCTGACCGCAGGGGAAGGAGCTCTGAACTGGGAGTCAGGAGGCCTAGAATCTCCCCGTGTGACCTTCCCCTCTGGGTATGTGTCCCCATCTGTGGCAGGAAATTAGACTCCATCTCTGTGTTCTCAAATTACAGTACAAATCCCTGCCAACGATATACAGCAAACATCTGAAAGTTTCATAACTATGCGTTTAAATATCATCCTTATATAATAGAGAAAAATAGCACACACAGTCAAGAACTTGTGAGTGCTGTTACATAGAATACTTCTCACTTTTAAGCATATTGATATAATCGATAAAAAGTAAAATATTTCATGGGTTTCCCTGGTGGCTCAGTGGTAAAGAATCCACCTGCCAATGCAGGAGACACAGGTTCAGTCCCCGGGTCAGGAAGATCCCCTGGAGGAGGAAATGGCAACCCACTCCAGTAGTCTTGCCTGGGAAATCCCATGGACAGAGGAGCCCGATAGGCTACAGTCCACAGGGTTGCAAAGAGTCTGACCTGACTGAGCGACTAAACAACAACAAAATATACTTAGTATCAGTAGAACATAGATAGGGCAAAATTTTTAAGTTGTCCAGTGACTAAGGTTTGGGAACAGTGAACAGGTTAGGGTCCCTTCTAGAACAGCCTAAGTCATCCCTCATGACTGCGAGCCTTGTTTTTATAACATACTGATGATCACGTGCATGGCCTTTTGGTATGAGTCAGTGATCTGGAACGTCTTCCCCAGGTTACCACCATCATTCCTATGGGAAGCCAGCTGCCTTTATTATGATTTGTTTTACAAGCTAGTTTCTAGGGGTGGATTATGTTGAGAGGTACCGCTGTGGCCCTAGCTCAGGAATGGGCAGCTTAGTCCAACTGTGGGCTGTGGCCATGGGATAGGAACCTACAGGGGCTTCCAACCAGAGTATTGGAGCTGTGGGGAGCTGCCACCCAGACCCCCAGCTGGTCCGAGCACAGCCTCATCACCCTTGGAGAGACATAAGTTTTGGATCATGCACACTGGAGCAATCACAAGCGTGTCGGGCTTCCAGGGTACACAAGGCAACTTAATGAACTAGGGTACTCCACCCTGAGATGCCTAAGACCTGGATGTCCCTGCCTAAGCTGGTTCTGGGGACAGGCGGCCCCACTGTAGGCCAGACTCCAAACCATGAGTTCCCTAACGGGCACTCCACTGACGATATGACTGTGTGACCATGTCTACACGTCCCGAGGCAAGAGACATATACCTAGAGGGTCACAGAACTGGCAGAAGAAGAGGATAAAACCTATAGAAATAGAGGCAGACTATGGGAAGGCAGACTATGGGAGGCAGAATGGGAAGTCACAGATACACACCAGAGACCTGCCTGTTCCAGGCGCTCCTGTGAGCGCCGGTTTATGTATGAACTGAACAAGCTTGTGAGGTGAGTAACATTATTTAGACAGTACGGGGGACATCCAGGCACACAGATAGGAAGTAATTTGCATAAGTCACCTCACTAGTTAGTGTAACAGCAGGGTTTCAAACCCTGGCACTCTGGGTGCATGACCTGTAAGCCATAGAGAGGAAATAAGGGGAGCCCAGCACAGGGCAGAGGCAGAGGGTAAGAGCAGGGAAAAGGAAACCCAAGTCAGGTCTCTCTGGTGCCCCCTCCTAGCACTTACATGTTGTTGTTCAGTTGCTAAGTCGTGTCCACCTCTTTGTGGCCCCATGGACTGCAGCACACCAGGCTCCTCTGTCCAGCACTTGTATAAGTCGTTATTCCTAGAGCTGAGGTCAGCCTTGCTCCTCCAGCCCCCAGACTGGGGCTCCTTCGGGCAGGGTGCAGCCTGCTCATCTGGCCTTTGGCCCGGGCTTCCAAGGACAGGTCAGACAGGTCTGGCTGGTGCAGATGGATGTTTTGCAGCTTCCGGTGCTCAAGTCCCTGGGGACCTCTGCCACTCAGTCCCACACAAGGCCTGCGCCAGCCACATGCCACTGCCTGCCCTCACCTAGAAGGGATGACTTCACCCTCAGGGCCTGGCCACAGCCTGGTGTGGGTGAGTGTCTGTCCCAAGCAGACAGCCTGGTCCCAAAAGACTGCTCAGCTCCTGCTCCCCACCACCACCCAGGTGACCCGTCAGATGGCTTCATCTGCCTGGCCAGCCTCTTCTGGCTGGCTTCCCGTCCCTGAGTTGACTGGCTGGCCTGCAAAGAGGTCCTGTATGTCCCCCATGTCTATCCCTGATGCAGCCTGTGTCCACACTGCCCTGCAGGGTCTGTCTCCCCTTCCCTCTCCCACCGCACCACCTCCTGAGGTGTACCTGTGCTCCCAGCTCCACAAAGGCAGACCACGCTGTTAAAAATAGAGCTTCTTTATTGGTACCTATAAGCTTAGGTACAAGGTGTTCCCACAAGCTCGCAGGCTGGCAGGGCCTCCTAGGCAGGAGGGGAGGCCCAGAGCCTGGGCTTCTTGGCACAGACACAGAGAAAAATGAATAAATTATAGTTCTAATACTCGGGGACAATACAGAAATTATGATGCAAAATCCAACATCAGCAAACAAAGGGCCTGAAAGCCATAACGAGCCCCCCTCACCCCTGGCCAGCTGGCAGGGTGCAGGCAGGTGGACTAGGCTGGAGTGCAGTGCCCAGAAAGCCCTGAGTGGTCCAGGGCCTACTGTGGGCCCTGAGGCAGCCCCTTACCCTCTCTGGGCCTCCTGCTTCCCCCTCCTACATTTACGGCCTTGGAATAAAAGCTGCGGCCTTTGGCGGGGAAGAGGGGGAGAGATGGGGCAGAGAACAGGAAGGAGAGGGGGATGTGTGGAGCAGAAGAGGGTTTTGGTCACGGTTGGTCAGCCCAGCCCAGCCCCGGCCCCTGCCCCTACTTGCTCAGCCATCGAGAGCAGGGCCGCTGCCACGTTAGACAGAGGGCTCAAGCCCACACCTGGTCTACACCAGAGCCCCAGCAAGGGCAGGGCTGCAGGACTATCAGGCAGAGGGACTTGGGGGGTGAGGCGGGGAGGGGCCTGTGCCCCACCCCCGACCCCAGCACTGCGCGCCAGCCACCTAGTCTCCAAATAAATTATGGGAAATAAATTACAGTCTTCACAGTCCAGAGGATCCAGTCACCCATGAGTCTCAGGGTGGCAGAAGAAACCCTAAGAGGTGGCTGATTTCAGCCTCGTGTGGCCGTCTTCAGGCTTAGGAACATCATACAAGGTGGAAAGGGAGTCTGCAAAGCTCCAGGGAAGCCACATTTCTTCCCACTCCTGGCATGCGCCATGGATGTGGAAGAGAAGGTGTGGGCGTAGGGGGACCGGGGAACTGAAAGGGGAAGTGCCCCCCACCCCCCCCTTCAGCATAGACAGTTACAAAAATAAATAAATCAATCCAGAGTGTTGCATGAAAATTAGTAGGAGTGCCCACATGGGAGCCAGCCAACGGGGGACCATTACATACAGACAGACCTTGGGGAGCCCCCAAATTACAACAAAGCAGCAACAGGGTTCTTGGGGCCGGGAAAAGGCACCCTGACCCTCACACAGGCACAGGCTCCACCAGCGACGCCGGGGTGGTATCCTCAAACAACTGGCCATCCACAAAGGGAGCCAGGGCCTCGGCAGCGGGCTCAGTCAAGCCCATGATGGACTCCAGGAAGCAAGCGCTGGCGTCCGCAGGGGGAGAGAAGGCAGGCAAGGTGAAGTGGGGCGCCTCGAGGTGGTCCAGGCTGTCAGACACCTTCCGGGAGGTGTAGTGGGGCCCCAGACTGTAGTCTGGCAGGGCCTGGAGCAGCTCGAAGGAGTCGCAGGAGGACAAGCTGAGGTCCGCTGAGCTGCTCTGGCCGGCGTCCGTGCTGGCTGGCACCAAGGGGCCAGGGAGGCTGCCCTCGCCCAAGCCTTCAAGGCTGCTATTGAGGAAGCAGCTGGCATCCAGGTTGGCGTTTTCATCCAGGATGCCTGACGTGAGGCTGGAACTGGAATAGCTGTGGGTCCAGCTGGCCAGGCCAGTGAGGTCACCAGTACCAAAGATGTCAGCTGGGTGGAAGCAGCTGAGATTGTCCAGTCCGCCCACACCCCCATCCTCCTCCTCTTCCTCCTGTCCACCTAGTTCGGAGTCACTGAAGCTCAGGATACGAGCCAGGCCATCATCATCCATGCCAGGCTGGAAGCCAGGGCTGGGCAGGGTCAGATGGGCAGGGCCATCCGGGGCCTCGCTGGTGCCTGAGGCTGTGGACGAATCAGTCATGTCGCTGCTGCAGCTGTTGTCTCCCAGTTCGCTGCTCATGGGGGGCTTGGCTAGGGGGAACGCAGAGGCTAGGACCTGCTCGCCGGGGCTGGGAGCGCCACCCTGGGCGGGGGCCTCCAGCTCCCCAAGGCTCTCGGCCCCCTGCTCCAGCTGCAGGCGGGTGAGCGTGTGAATGAAATGGGTCTGAACTCGAGCCTGATTAAATTCCACACGGCCCTTCGGATTCTCACAACCCTCCCTGCAGCAACCACAGGGGAACGCTGTGTGATCCATCTGTAAAGAAAACAGAGGTACCAGTGAGGATCCGGTGGAGCCCAGAGAAGTCCCTGACCCAGGCTTGCCTGCCCAGCCCCGCCGAGCCCCAGTACCTGGCACTTGATGCCCGCCAGGCTGCAGCTGCAGGTCTCAGGATCACAGACCCTGTCACAATGACAGCCGCAGTCCTCCCGGGACTGGCGCAGGGCCTGCAGCTCTCGCTTCTCCTCGCGATCGATCCTCCGCACACCTGAGGCCCGCAGCAGAGCCCGTCGCTTCCGGGCTGGGAAGGGCTGGAGGAAGGTCATTTCCTCCAACCGGCCGCCTGCCATGGCCACTGCCAAGTCCTCCTCCACAGAGGCATCATCGATGGCATCCACGGTAAGCGGCAGGCCAGCCTCCATCTTGGGCACCCCAGTCTCCGAAAGCTGTGTCCAGGGAAATGAGGAGGGATGTGAGAGGCTGACATGGATCACGGTCTTAACCCCCACAGCATCGGTCACTTAATAAATGCCCCCAAGTGTTTACCCTGGGCTGGGCATTGTGGATGCCATAGTGAATGGGACAGCAAGAACACGCCCTCAGGGCATTCAGAAAGCGGTTTCCTATTTGCATTATTCCCCACTTCATGGACAAACCCCTTCCCTGAGACAGACAGATACACTGACACCCCTATGTCCCATCTACCCCTCCCCAGTAAGGTCAGGCTGACTTAGGTACCATGCCCCCTGGCCCTGCAATAGGAGCCCTTCTACGCCCATCTGCCTACAGAAAATTCAGCAGTAGGCTCTCATCAAACCAGTCAGCCCCATGGGCCTCCCAAATACACAAGCAGCAAGGTGGCAAGCACCATGACCCTCATCCCCCCTAAGGCTAGGACCTGAGAGCAGCTCAAGGGCGAGGGCCATGGAGAGGGTCTCCCCACCTTCCATCTCAGAGACTCCAGCTTCTCCTCCTTCAAGCGTAGGCGCAGCTTCTCTTGCCGTGCCCGGGCTTGCTCCTGGGTAAACTCGGCCAGGGAGAAGCGGCGGCAGGCACTGTGGCGGGAGGCCATACCCAGGGTGCAGCCGCCACGGCTGGGCACGCTGGTGAAGCCCTGGCACCGCGGGAAGTAGAAGACGGTGATGCCATCGAAGGCCACTCGACCTCGGCGCTTCCGGGGAGCCCGCTTCAGAATGGACAGGGCTGGAAGACAGGAAGGGGAGGGGTAGGCGTTAGTTCTCTGTGAAGCAGGGCCTGACCCCTGGGAAGTGATGCTGAACCATCTCTGCTCACAACCCTCCCACCTCACCCAGAAGAGAAATGGATCCGAGTTTAGGAGCCAGCCTGGCTGACACTGGCGCTGGTAAAAGTCCAACATCACCCTGTGTCGACACTGGCTCATTGTTATTTACTGGTCCAAACGAGAGCATGTGTTAAGATTAAACATCTTTCCCACCTTTAGAAGCCATTTACAGGTCCCCTTCATCGTTTTCTAAAATTCTTTTTTTGGGGGGTGTGGGGGTTGCTGTGCTGCAAGGCATGCAGAATCTTAGTTTCAGACCAGGAACTGAACATGTGCCCCTGCAGTGGAAGCTATTTTTACCACTGGACCACCACGTAAGTCCCTCTATAGTTCTTAAAAGTATTGATTTGTAAGAGTTTTGTATATATATTAGATGTTAATCACCAGTCTAACCTATCGGTACAAATAATTTAGTTCTTTATTTTTGCTTGTGGGGTTTTACAAAATAATTTCTAAGGTTTATGAAATCAAAAGTATATTGAGCTTTTCCCTTATCACTTCTGCATTTTGCAACAAGCTTAGGAAGGTCTACTACCCTTTATAAGTTATTAAGTAGGTCAATTACTAACCTATGTATTGGCATATTCAATACATATACTTGTATACTACTGATTTTATTAGTTTGGACCATAAGAAGTTACCATAAAATAATCAAACCTTGGCGATGCTGTATGTTTAGACTTAATATATTAATATCAATATTAATTTTGTATCCAGCTACCTGAGAGAATTCCCTCCTAATAGGTTTTCTATATACCTATTCTTGAATGTCATGTAGTCGACTACCTGCAAATCATGGCAATTTTGCCTGTTCTAATCAGTGTATTTAATTCTCATTTTCTTTGCTAACTGAATTGGCTAGCACTTCCTGAATGATGTTAACAAACAGTGGTAACAGTGCCTCCAGCTTGTTCCTGACTTAGTTTCCTCATCAATCCTAATACCAGGTTTTGAAACATGTATTTTTTATCATTTAGGGTATATTTACTTATTCTTATCATACTAAGGGTCTTATCTAGAAGGAATATTGTTGTTGTAGTTGCTGTTCAGTCACTAATCCGTGTCCAGTTCTTTAAAATTCCATGGACTGCAATATGCCAAGCTTCCCTGTCCTTCACTGTCTCCTGGAGTTTGCTCAAATTCATGTCCACTGAGTCAGTGATGCTATCTAACCATTTCATCCTCTGCTGTCTTCTTCTCCTTTTGCCAGAAGGAATATTACATGTTATCAAACAGCAGCTCTCATATTTTTCCTCCTCTGACATAGTCATCTGGTAAAATTTATATGATTAGATTTTACAGTATTAAACCATCCTTGTCCTTCTACAGTAAACCCATAGTAGTTTAGTCAGTTAATGTACTGTTAGATTGTATCTGCTAAAGATTATACTTTTTCATGTATAATGTACAGCTCTGCATATAGTCCATAAATAGACATATCTGTGGTATTAAGACATCATGGTGGGGATGATCAGAGAAAAAAATGTCTCCATCTGCTCCTCGGTGTTGAGGGGGTGCAATAATGAAAAATAAGGTGGAGAAACACTCTAGGGCCTCTTTTGTCAGTTTGAAATCAGAATCATGTAAACTTAAAAAACTAACTGGGGGAAAAAAACCTTTTCACTGCATTCAAGCAAAGCCAAGCAGCATTTTGCTGGGTGAAGGACCGGCCTGACAGGCCCCGCAGCACAGAAGCATGATGGGGTGTGGGACTTGGGCAGGGCAGCTGGTAGAGGACAGGGAGCCAGATGGGAGAAACGAAACTGGAACTGAGGGGCAGAGCTGGGTGGGAAGGCCCCAGGGCCGCCGAGGAGCCCTGCCCTGACTCCAAGCTGGAGAGTCCCAAGGTCAAAGGTGAGTGCAGCTGGAGCCGGCATTCCCGAGTGACCTCTGCAGGACTTCATCAGGGCCCCCCAGTTTCATCTGGAGGAAGGAAAGGGGGGGTGCGACGGGGTTCCCAGGGCAGAGAGACTCACGAGTGAAACTTCGGGGGCCACAGAAGTCACGGTCAGGCAAAGGCAGCTGATCCCAGGGGCTCTCCTCATCCGAGTCCCAGGCCGGGGAGACCGAGGAGCTGGGGGAGCAGGAGGGAGAGCGGTGGCCCAAGGAGGACAAGGAGGAGGACGAGCAGAGCGAGGACGAGTCCTCCTCCAGCTGGCCAAACTTCCGCTTCAGCAGCCCCGTCATGGTGGCGAGGGTGCTCTGGGGCCCGGGCACAGCCTGCCTGGAAGGAGAACGGGAGAGCTCTAGTGGGCAGGCCTGAGGGCAGGAGGTGGGCACCCAGCCCTGGTCATCGCCTCTCCCACCACCCCCCCAGCCAAGGATGCTCAGGTCCTCCCCAAGGAGCTCTACCTGCCGGGGCCAGGACTCTAGGAGGTTGCTTTGTACTGGATGGAGCCCTGAGGTTCAAACCCTCACCCTGGTGCTTGCAGACTTGTACCACCTCTGCCCCAAAGTTTCCCCCTTCATTACCTACTGTAACCCACCTACACACATGCACACACCAGACCAACAGATGGGCCGACAGACCTCAGCCTGGCCTCGCTCATTCCCCTGCAGGAATCCCGGGGGCTGACTCACTGGCTGGGTGATTCACACGGCTGCATCTGTGCGCCTTTGTGTGTGTGCGCCCGGGTGCATGCCGACAGCCTGCACGGCCCTCGTACAGTGGCTGCTTCCTCCTCCTCTCTCCCAGCACACCCACAGACACGCCGCCCTGCACACACTGGTGACAGGCCCTCGCTCAGGGCCAGGCCGACCAGGGCACTCCAGGGAACGGGCTGGCTTGGACACCACCCCTGATTTCCAACACACAACTTTCCCATGATAGAGCTGCTTAGACTTTCCCTTAGAAACCCCCGCCCACAGGAGAAGTCCCCTGCCTCCAGGCCCGACTGTGGGACCAGAGCCACCTGGGCTTCATGGCTCTTTAATATCTCCTGTTTGATCTTCAAAATTCACCTTCATCTTGCCTTCCGCTCCAATTTCTAACCCTGTTTGAATTAACTTTCAAGGGAAAGTATGCTCTCCCCTTAAAAAACAAAAACCTTCTTGGAGTGCCACTGACCGGCCACGCTGAGGTTCCACGCTCCTCCTGTCTGCGGTCGGGTGACCTAGAGCACCCAGGACACACCGCTTGCTGTGTCTCCCCTTTAAGGGTCCCAGCCCTCCTCAGTAGAGCAACCAGAGGTTCTCACAGCCTGGCTGGCCTCACCCGAGGGAAGGGGGCTTGGGGTTCCTCCTCCTAACAGCCTCTTCCACTGTTCGGAGAATCCCCAAAGGACTCGGAGCCCAGCTAGCCCGTCTCTCCGTGTCCTGAGCACTCAGGGCTGGGCCCCAGGAGGTCACCAGGAGGAAGGGGAAACGGTGCGGAGGCCCCAGTGCTGGGGAGCCCCTCCCCCACTGCCATCACAGGAAATGAGAGTGAACAGGAAAAGCCAACCAGAGGCTGGCAATCTCCCCTGCTCAGGTGTCCTTTCGAAACACCCCTTGGCCTAGCCTCCTACGAAGTCCCTGGATCCCAGACTTAGGCAGTGTGCTGTCAACCAACTTACTGGGTAAAATTCATCCTAGGGACAGCCTCTCCCCGCAGGCACCAGAGCAGCAAGAGAACCTCCGCGACTTGCCAACCCTCCAACAATGCTGAGCCCAGGGGAAGAGGATGCACAGGTGTTTCCGGGGGCTTCTCAGCAGATAGTTTCTCAGGCTTGGCACCCCCCACCTCTCCCAGGGTCAAACCACAAACAAAAACAACCCAGCTCTCAGCTGACCTGAAGACTCTCCCAGGAGATGGGGGAACTCATGGCCCAGAGGTAGATGCATGCACGCACGCGTGCGCGCGCACACACACACATACAAGCTCGTGCACGCGCAGAGCCCAGAGGCACCCAGACACAGAAACACACACACAAACCACGCCCAAGGATCTTGTCCTTACCACAATCCCACTGTGAGATCCCATCTCTTCCCCAACTCCAGATGCTACCCATAGGGTGCTGAATGCCTTCCTAGTCACACACCTAAGCCGAAGACTCCCTCAAGCCAAATGCTCACTTGGTCTCTGCCTGGCCATCCCTTAGAAACATAAAATTCTGCAGGCCCCATATCGAACCCCTTGTCTCTGTTCCCCACCTCCCCATGCCATCTGTTCCTCTTCCTGTGTTCCCTATCTTAGTAACAGCACTGCCACCCACCCAGTTACTCAAGCCAGAAACCTGCAGTCATCCTCAACTCCTTCCTGCCGCCCTCCATCCACATCCAGTCACCCAGTCCTGGAAGTACACATTAGCTCATTCGATCCACACAAGGCCAGGCGCCGACATGGCAGGTACCACGGAGGCTGCCCAGCAATGTGAAGAGAACCTCGGTTCCAGAACCACACTGCTCACATCTGACCCTGGCATGGCTATCAGTTGGCTGGGTGATGCTGGGCAAGGTCCTTAACTTCTCTGGGTTTGCAATTTGTCTTGCAACCGAATAGGGTTGGGAGGTTTACGTGCATCAATCCATGTCAGGTTCTTAGAACAGTGGTAAATGCTTGCTGAATGTGTCATTCTACACCGAGGGGGGGCGGTGGGAACGAGCTCCTGGATACACACCACACAGATGGTTCTCACTGATAGCATGGTGAGTGACAGAAGCCAGACGCAAGGTTACATGTGAATGAAGCTGAAGAAAAAGCAAACCCAATCAGTGATGATACAAGTCAGGATCGTGATTACCCAGGGGGTGGAAAAGGGCATGTACTGCAGACAGCCATGAGGGAATTTTCCCAGGGGCGGGTGGGGGTAGTAGTGTCTGGAACTGTTCTGTGTTGTCTGGGTGGCGGTTCCATGGGTGTCTAAAACATCTCACTGCACACTTAAGATTCATCTGCTTTGTGCATTTTACACACGTCACCTTCTATTCTGAAAGTCTGTTACCCTTACATCTCTGTCCCACTGACACTGTCCACGTCTCCCGCTCTCTCCTCGCAGTCACTCTTTACCCTGGAGCTAGAATGATCTTATTAAACCAAGTGTCTGCCCACCATCTCCATGCAGAGAACCATTCCCTAAGGGGCATCCCTTAGGATCAAGTCCACAGTTCGAAGAGGCTGAAGCATGCCTAGCCCCCAGACTCATCATGCAAGACTCTTCCTACCCTCCTCACTTTATACTCCAGCTGAACTTGCAGCTGCCCCAACAGGCATGACCTTCTCACTCCTGGCCTTCGGACAAGTTGGAACCCAGCCTCACTCCCCTTAAGAAGTCATCTCCCAGAGGGCCTCCCTGACACCGTTCCTCCTCCCCACTACATGCCACTCTGGGCCTCCGTGAGCCACGGGATTCCCCCATCACAGCCCTCATGGCTCCTTCCCGTGACCACCTCACTGCTCATCTCCCTCGTGCCGGGCTGAAGGCCTCTCTGCTGGTCGGCACTGTGCCTGTGCCTGGAATAGAGTCTGGCACAGAGAAGGCTCCTGAGGACCATCGGAGGTAGGCAGGCTGGCGGTGCAGGTCAGGTATACACAGAGGGACGATTTAGGCACATGAGGTTTCTGGGGGCCACAGGTCAGTGTCCCCTCCTCCTGCTCGGGTCACAGTTGGGGTCACAGCTCGATGGGGCAGGGATAAGGGCGGACCTGCCCATCCCCCAGCCCGTGCCTGAGGGTTTGAGCAAGAACAGCACCCAGGAGGGGGTAGCTCCGAGGGCAGGAAAAGGAAGCTCCGGCTGCCAGCAAGTGCCAACACAGGCATCTCAGGAGGTTCCCCAATAGTAAACAAGTGGAAGGAGTGTTAGGGAAGCCTGTTCAAGCCAGACACCCTGGCTCTGTCTCAGGGATGTCTACAGAATGGGAGTGTAAGGGGAGAGGGTTGTAAACTCCAGGGTGGCAGACGGGGACACAGGGGAGCCATGGCCGTGATGCACCTCCTAGTGAGGAGCGCCGAGAGACATCTGCAGACCTGGAAATGGGGAATCATGTCCTCCCTGACCCGGGGTGGCGAGGAGGAGCCCCTGGATGTTGTGCTCGGCTGCCCCACTTGGGAATCCAGAGGCTGAGAGAGGCAGAGGCAGATGAGACGAAAAGACTCAGCCAGAGACAAGGAGAGGCCAAGTCAGAAAAGGAATGAAAGATAGTGGAAGAGTCCAAGAAAAGTGTCAGACAGTGAGTCAGAGGGTGGGGGAGGGGCCCTCCACAGCTACCCAGGAATCAAGATCCCTACCGACCGTGGCACTGTTCCCAGGGTGAGCACAGCCCCCTCCGAGGGTCCTGGAGGAAGGAAAAGCAATTCCCAGGAGCGGGCCCAGACAGAAATACCACACCCCCGAGGAGCCCCGGAGACAGGCCCTGAATCAAAGAGAACCAGGCTTCTTCCGGGATCTGCCTGGGCCCTGAGAATCAGGCCCTCCCTGCCTGTCACCACTCAGAGGAGCTGACAGTCCAGGACGAGGCGGGGGGGTGCCTCCCCACTCCTTGCTGCAATTATCTACACACTCAGGCCACACTGTGTGAACCGAGGGAAGGCCACCTCACCCTGGATACCAACCAAACAAAGGCTGTTTAAGGCAAGGGAATCCCCAGGCCTCTGAAAGGTCACACCAACTCCTCTTCAACCTCAGCAGTCCCAATGCCCCAGTCCCAGGTCAGAGCTGGTATTGGAAAAGGGGCACCTTCAGCTGCCTCCACCCTCTGTCAGGAATCTGAAGAATGTGTCTTTTAACCTCAGAGCCCCAGGCCTTGGCCAGGCCAGACCCAGCTCTCCCCAATACCTGGGGTCACATGACCCCAGGCCCCCAGGAACTACTTCCTGGGAGAAGGGGAGGACACCTTTAAGCACCTCAGACCCCACGGGTATCAGCTAGAAGAACAGCCACAGCAGCTCAGAGGGGGCAAGCAGAAGGCCCTGGCACATCCCCACCCCTACCAAGCCTTCCCCCAGGGGGAGGGGACAGTTCCTCAGCCTTGGCCTCCAGGGCTTGGCACTGGGGAGGTGCCAAATGTTTGCTGGCTACATGAAGCAACTGCTCCTGCAGAAGGGAAATTGCACCTGACAGAGACTGCTTAATCCCCCTAAGCAAGGCCCCCTTCACTGCCATTCATTCATTCATTTCTTGCAACAAATACTTACTGGGTGCCTATGACATGCCAAGCACTGTGTCACGCGCTGGGAATACAGGGAGCAAGACACAGACAATACTGCCCC